CGTTTGACCCTAACTCCGCCACCACTAGACCGATTTTCAGAAACTAGGAAGCATCCTCAGCATGGTAGCAACTTTGTGCGAAAATTTCATCAAAATCCGATCGGTATCCCTCAAGTTACAGGGAGCTGTAGAATTAGCGGACAGACCGACAGACAGACAGACCGACGGAAATGTATGTACATGTCATATAACATCCATAATATCTTAATCTCGAAATTTTTCGTAATTACAAAACTTCTTCGCCAGTTTTGACATAGGAAGTAAAAGCGAAAAAAAACTTCTTTTTAGACGTTGCAGTTACTGCTCATTCTCAGATTTTTTTGGCCGAGATGAATATTGGGGATTGTTGAATGTCGGGGCTAGCGTCTGAGGTAGGCTGTTGAAAATGTAGCATCTTTGGTGTCAGTGAAATAATTATGTTCTATTATTGAGAATTATCTGGTTACCGTGATGGGGCTCACCTGTTAGACATATCTGTCATGCACTATCCATCCAAATTGAAATAAATCAGGATCTATTTTCGTGTAGAAACAAAAAGTTCCGATTCCATTTGAGTCTTTTTAATAGACCGCACCGATCCCTTTTTGTTATCCATGTGTGTGGTTAACCTTTTTCTCGGATAGGCTAATTTGTCCCATTATTTCACTCTTGGTTGTTTTAGTACCATACTTCATGTAGCGCTCCAGTTGGAAATAAACCGAGAACAATCAAATTGATGACAGAATTGCATGGAAAGTACAGAGTAAGTATACTTGACACCACTTTTTTGTAACTCACAGACTTTCTGAACAACAGCTTTAGTTCAGCTTATGAATTAGGCTCATTCCTTATTTCGTTCGGTGCGGAAAAAATCTATGATTCTCTGATATCTATAATTTGTCACTCCCGAGTTAGGAGTCTACTTAGACTGTTTTTCACTGGCATATTGCCGCTGTAATGAATATGTTATGTAGAGATGCCTAACAAAAATCCATGCAAAACTTATGAAAATACTTCGTAAGGTAACCAAAAATATTAGGTGTATTTTTACAGCAATGCTAGTATGTTAGGGCGGAAACACATTATTGTCACATCCCATGAACTCACAAGTATACATCATATAATACTAAAAGGACTTGATAACAATTTTTCAAGTTCAACGTCAAGGGCTTCCATATTTATGACTGACAATTTCTGAAGAATATTACTTATATGTATGTATTAGGTACTTGCCACCATAAATAAAATAAATGGGAGAAAGTCAGAGCACTCACGCAGGTAAAAGTATTTTGAGGATACTATTACGATAGTACAGCTCCATAGTAATTAAGACCCAATAAAACTGTCCTTTCCCCATGATGCTTGTTTATTTCATTATTAACTTTCAAATGTATGAATGTACTACATAATACTTCAGTGTATACTGTAAAATGTGCATTTGTTTGCCGATGGAAATTGTCCAGGCTTTACATGCAACTTTATACATTCAAATATAGTAACAAGTTCGTACTTTGGTCCAAAATTCTATACGAAAGGGATCATCCTCCCCATATAAAGGGTAATTCAGAAAACAGTTTCAATATCAGCAAATGGCACTTGGGCTATAGTATTTTCATAAGACAAGAAAGAAGATCCTAAACTAGCACGGAAAGGTCATATAAACATTGGCTCTTAAACTCCCCTAATCGTTGAAGAAAATTCCGTGACTTAGGCTATACCACTGGCATTAAAATATTGCAGAAAAAAAATTACCTTCTACGCTACTGACTTTCTGAGACATCTATTGCATGTTTGCGTACTCAATTTGATATGAATCGCCTCTTTTGAGAAATCTTTGTCAGACGATTGAGGTGAGTTGCTGTGATATATATATATATACAGGGTGACTTTGAAGTTGAGTCATTAATTTTCAGATAATGATTGTAGAAGGAAGATAAACCAAAATATGTGTGTAAAAATAAAAAAAAAATAAAAAAAATGTTACCTTGTTTTATAAAGTATCCTCCCGACAAGTATTTCAGTGCGGACCTGTATTTGATCGTGCGGTCTTGGAGCACCGGCATGCCCTCCCCTGTGAGGTCTTAAGTCACCTGATTCACGAGCCCTTTGTACTACATTAACAAAGGCACGAGGGGTTGGTTGCACTCGATTGGGAAACCGATCCGCATAAATCCGTGATGCCGCGTAAATAAGAATCATGTCCCCAAGTTCAGCATTTTCGTAAACATGTGCCATTTTTTATTTCGTTTGAGCCACACAACAGACACCACTATTCACTCACGCGTTACCGACTGACACTGACTGTATACAACTGAATAAAATAATTGTAAAAACATCGTTCCAAATTCTTTCACTTTTTTGTTTCCGATGCGATGAACCGATAAGGCGGATTATATCCGTTGTTGCCAAACACGAGCACATAATATTATTATTGAGACAGGGCGGTACTCAAACTTCCAAAGGGATATAGCTTTGTTACTTTAATTTTACCAGAAAAATGGTAAAGGAAAAAAAACATTTCTTTTGATCAGATCTACTCACTGTTAAAATAAATGACTCAACTTCGAAGTCACCCTGTATATATATATATACTATTCATGTTTAGACAACTATACCGAAAACCTAATTCAAATCATTCAAAGCAATTGTGTGCCGCGTAAATAAAAATCATGTCCACAAGTTCAGCATTTTCGTAAACATGTGCCATTTTTTATTTCGTTTGAGCCACACAACAGACACCACTATTCACTCACGCGTTACCGACTGACACTGACTGTATACAACTGAATAAAATAATTGTAAAAACATCGTTCCAAATTCTTTCACTTTTTTGTTTCCGATGCGATGAACCGATAAGGCGGATTATATCCGTTGTTGCCAAACACGAGCACATAATATTATTATTGAGACAGGGCGGTACTCAAACTTCCAAAGGGATATAGCTTTGTTACTTTAATTTTACCAGAAAAATGGTAAAGGAAAAAAAACATTTCTTTTGATCAGATCTACTACCCTGTATATATATATATATATATATACTATTCATGTTTAGACAACTATACCGAAAACCTAATTCAAATCATTCAAAGCAATTGTGTTCGTATTATTTTTGGACTACTCAAATTTCTTCACGTATCAGCAAAATATCCGATACTCAATTGGTTGAAAATAAATAATTTGGTTAAATATGTATCACTATCCAGTTTTCATGACTTACGCTTAAGCCGCGGAAAATTAAACAATTATATTTATTCTAGATCACTTAGAAATAAATTTTTTAGGATCCCTTAGTATCCAACAACCCTATTTCAATGCAGTGTCTCCTATAACGTGGCCATCATATATAATTCTTTACCGAAATTGTATAAGCAATACTCATTAGCAGCTTTTCGACAAAAAGTGATATCATTGTTGCACCAATGACTTTATTACGCAATGACGCTTTCTTACTACTCTTATCATCTTTATTGCTTTTCTTTTTTTTTGTGTATTTGCTTTATAACCAAAAACCAGCATCATTCACATAATATGCTTTGTCTGTCTTTATTTAGTCTCCTCCATGGAACTGAAACTTACAACACTCTTTATCTCGGCAATGGTAATTTATTGTTGTTTTGATAATGATAATGATAATAATGATAACCATAACGATGATGATAATGATAATGATAACCATGATGATAATAATGATAACGATGATGATAATAATAATGATAATGATAATGGTAATAATAATGATAATGATAATGATAATGATAACGATAACGATAATGATAATGATAATAATAACAACAATAATAATAAAAAACGTCTTTATTCGCCAATCAACAGAACAAATAAAACAGTTTAAAAAAAAAGGTGTTTGGTGAAGGGCGGAGCTCAGCTGTATATCACTAAAGTGTTGCGCATCTTGCTCTTCCTCCTATACCTTTATATCATATTTAATTAGGTTTAGTTGTATGTTGTTTTATAGAAACATAGCCATTGTTTTCAGTCACCGTGCATATGCCACCTTGGTGGTGCTAAAAACACTATGACATAGACTAGGTAAGACAACAAGTTTCCGAACTTGCCATCTGGATGCAGGCATGGAAAAGAAATCTCCTAAAATCATTCCCGGACTGCTTTTTAGTAAAGAGGGGTCAAACGCACATAGTCACAGGATTATTAGGACACGGTATCCTGAAAAAACACCACCACAAAACACTGCTGAATGTTGGATACCTAAATTGTAGATATTGTAGAAGAGAAACAAAGTTGTTATTTTCCATGTCCGAGTAAAAAGATCTAGATCTTAAGAGCAAACAACTCTTGCAGAAACTTAAACTATAATCAAAAGAGATTCGTACACTAACGTCAAGAAACCAAGTTACTTTCCAAAAACAATATCTGCCAAATCGGGCTTGTCCTGGCGCCACATCAATGCTTTGATACTCGTGTTTTGAACATGTAATGGCATCATAAACATTTCTAGTGGCTACGTTACGTAACTTGGCTTGTCTGCATAATATCATAAAAGATATTAGTGAGTTTTAATTGCCGAACATAATAACAAGATCTGCTAGTAGGTTTCAAGGCGCACGCTAAACGTGTGGGCGTAAAGATACGATTTTCCATAGAAATAAGGAAGCTAGCAATCAACAGGGTTATGAAAGTATCTTTTAGTACTGTTTTATAGCCTAAGTCTTTATCGAAAATAGCGAGGTATTCAAAGCTAATTTCAATTTCTTTATTGCCTAATGAGGAGCCATATTATCGTGCATTGACTCAACTCATAAAGGTTGTGAGATAATGTTACTTTATTTTGAAATCTTTTAATACTGAGGAGTTCTGTACACCCAAATTTTGAGCTCCACCACAAAGACTTCAAGCGTGCATTGTGCTTGAAAGCCTCAAAATAATTTTAGTTACCCGATGTTTCAAGCTTACAGTACTTTGGACTGCTACTGAAATGAATTAGAGTTTACTCATGTGACCCAAGATATATCTAGAATATTTATATCAATTTAACTAGAACAATTCTAATAATCGTTTTCGTCCAGCAGCTGGTATTCATTCAGATATAATTAGATTAATTTATAGAAGCCATTGGCGTCTGACCGGATACGACTACAATTTAGTTAAGATTAAACTGTGATTTGAGGAATACATTAACCCATGATGTGATACAGAAAAAATAAAAGACTCACCTTAGTCTTAGAAGTTTTGATTGTCTCGGTCCCTGTAAGGATGGCGTAGACCTCGATCTCGTAAGTGTCAACTCCCAGCTCTCTGTCCAACTCCGTTGCCGTAGAAAGTACTCCCAACTTGGTATCAATATCAAACAGTCTGTCCACTTGCGCGCCACCACCGGTCACATTGGTCACATAGTACTCGATTTCACCGGAGTGGTATTTCGCGGAAACTTTCAAAATACTTGTTCCTACAGGTTCGTTTTCGTACACGCTACCCGTGAATAGACCGCTTTCGAACTTAGGCCCGTTTTCCACGTCGTTCGTCGCGATTACCGTCAAGTAGGTTTCTGTGTATTTTCGCTCACTTTGAACTGCCTCATCTGTTGCCTTGACACTCAAACGGTACGTTGGCTCGGGATTGTAAATCGGACGTTTGAGTTTTAGAGCTCCGGTGCTTTGATCCAATCGGAATAAGTCACTGTTGCCGCTTGCTAGTTCGTATGTGACCAGGCCGTTTGTAGCGGAATCCAAATCCCTGGCAAAGACGTTCATCACCACAACTTCTTCTCTGTGTCGCTTCAGATCGATTTTGGGCAAAACCGCTGCGTTCATCGACACAAAAACTGGAGCATTATCATTAACATCCTCTACTATCACCGTGACTAACTTTTCTGCTGATAGCCGACTAGACGGTGGTTCCGCTTGATCTGATGCTATGACAGTGAGTCTAAAAGTGTCTACAGTCTCTCGATCTATCGGCAACAATGTGTGTATTACGCCAGTTACAGCATTGATTCCGAAGTGCCTGTTCGTATTTTCAGGGTCTTGGTATGAGATAGCGTAGGTGACCTTCCCGTTGATGCTGGAGTCCGGGTCGTCGGCTGTCACCGTAACTATGGGGGTGTGCACCGGGATACCCTCACGGATCTGCCTCACGATAGCCGTGCTCGGGAAAGAAGGCGGGTTATCGTTGGCATCTTCTACCAGCACGCCAAACAAAATGGTAGTAGATAATCTCGGATTGCCGTTATCAGATGCTGTAATATTCAACTGATAGCTGGCCAACTCTTCGTAGTCCAACGGTTTGTGTAAATGTAGCACACCTGTCATGGCGTCCACGTGAAATGCATCCTTTCTATTTCCTGCTGTTATGGAATATACTACCTCGCTGTTTACGCCCAAGTCTGCATCCGTTGCTTTGAACTGAATCAACTCTGTGTTCACTGATGCTGTTTCGCTTACAGAAATTTTTGATTCTGTCTGTGTAAACTCTGGAGCGTTGTCGTTTTCGTCCAAAATATCTACTTCAACCAAAGTTGAAGAACTTAGCTGTTTAGTTATTCCTGCATCATACGCCTCAACTGTCAAAGTATACTTGGAAGATTTTTCTCTATCCAGCGATCTAGCTAGACTTATCTGCCCAGTAGCGTCATCAATTTCAAAGCTTCCATCTGTATTTCCTCCAGTGATTTTATAAAAAACATCTCCATTGAGACCCTCGTCAGCGTCTGTTGTGTAAAGTCGCAGTACCTGGGTTCCGATCGATGATCCTTCCGATATTTGTATCCTGTACGGGGCTCTGAGGAATTTCGGTGGGTTATCATTAACGTCTGTGATATATACGTTTACTTTGACCTTATCTCGCAACCTGGGGTTGCCGTTATCTGTTACGACCGCCTCCAAGCTCATAAAGTTCTGTCCCGTAGTTTGCACCAACATTTCGCGATCGAATACGTGCAAGGTTTTGATAAAACCGTTCTTGGGATCCACCGAAAAGTCGTTCTGCAAACTGGAAAGTGAGAATATCAACTCAGCGTTTCTTCCAATGTCCTTGTCTGTTGCCGTGAGCTTGCCTACGAAGGAGTCTGGAGGGTCATTTTCTCTAATGCTGAAGGTGAAGGTATTGTTCACAAATTCTGGTGCATTGTCGTTCTCATCTATAACATGAATCACAACCGGAACTACCGACGATCTTGAAGGTTGTCCAGAATCTGAAGCCATCACTGTTAAGGAATAATAATCCTTGTCTTCTCTATCCAATGATTTCCTGACGTACAAGTAGCCATCTGGGAAAATTCCAAACTTTTCCTCGTTGTTTCCTTCAGTGATGGCGTAGGATACTCTTCCATTTTTGCCAAGATCAGCGTCACTAGCTGCTAATGCGAAGAATCTTTCGTTCACTGGCGTAGATTCTAGCAGAGATGTTTCGTAGGAGGTATGATCAAAGACTGGGGTGTGGTCATTCACATCTTCGATTGTAATCGTCACTGAGTGCTTAGAAGATAGAGGAGGTTCTCCTCCATCTGTAGCTGTAACCTCCATGTGCAACAGAGTACCTGGATCAGCACGAATGGGCCTGTTTAAATAAATCACACCGGTGGCCTCCGATATCCTAAACTGATTATCTGGATTATACGTGAGGCTGTATGTCATTCGACTGTTAATCCCTGCATCCAGATCTCTGGCACGAGCCACGTAAACTTCCTGACCTACAGCGGCATTTTCTAGGAGTTTTACAATCTCCTTCTCCCTGATAAATACCGGTCTGTTATCATTTAAATCCTGCACTACTATATTCACAGTGGTTTTACCGTATGCTAATCCAGTTCTTGCCACGACTGTCAAACTGTAAGTCAAACTTTGTTCTCTGTCTATATTTTTTGTAGTTGTGATCTTTCCTGTGTGTTCATCAATATCAAAATTTCTATTTAAATCTCCATAAACTATCGAGTAGGTTGCCTCACCATTCCTTACCCGTACAGTTCCCACTTCTCGCTTTCTAACAACTGAGGAATTGCCAGGATCTTCTAAAATGTGAAACTCATATCCTCCATAACTATCAAAATGCAACTCCTCCATGTAAGTGTCTTTGATGATTTCAACAGTAGCATCTTCCGGTGCTCTTTTGTCTCCACGATCTTGAGCAGAAACGATAAGGCGGTGAATTGGCTTTGAGGCGCTTTTCAGATTTCCTCTCAAGGTGATAACTCCCGACCATTCATCTACTGTAAATAGGCCATCACCTCCGCTCTCTAGTTTGTACATAATCATAGCATTTTCGCCTTCATCTTTGTCAATCGCAGTTACCTTGAGGATGGAGTTTCCAGGTTTTACGTCTTCTGGAACAGGAACGAAGTACTTCTGTGGATAAAACTCTGGAGTATTGTCGTTCTCGTCCAGAATAGTGAGATACACTGTAGCAGTTGAGGATTGAGGAGGAATGCCTTGATCTCTAGCTATCACGTAGATTTCGTAGCTTGATATCTTTTCGCGGTCTAACTTTGTTTTTGTGGTGAGTTGTCCAGTAAGTGAATCCAAAGAAAAAGTACCGTCATAGCGTTGTTGTACTCCAGGGTTTAGTGTATAGGCAACACTTCCATTGGCTCCTTGGTCATGATCAGATGCTGTTAGCATTGCAACTAGTGTTCCGGGTGGTGTGCTTTCTGACAATGTTACGTTCAGATGCGACTGTGAAAATTCCGGCGATTCATCGTTTTCGTCCAAAATAGTTACTTTGAGCTGCGCATATGCCCATTTGGGATTTGGCCCACCATCTCTGGCAGATATATTCAATTCGACGCTTCCTTGGACTTCTCTGTCCAAATTTATCTTGGTGGTAATCAATCCCGTATCCTGGTTGATAAAAAACCATTGTCGCTCGTTGCCGGAGACAAACGCGTAATAAATCTGCGCATTGACTCCAGTATCTTCATCGGTGGCTTTAATACCGGCTACATAAGTCCCTGGAGGTGCCAACTCGCTCAGTGTCGCTGAATATTCACTTTTCTCAAATACAGGCTCATGATCGTTGACATCGTTTACGTGGATGATCAGAAAGGCGGTTGCGGTCCTTGGCGGCGTTCCTTTATCCGTTGCTACCACCGTTAAATTGTACTTTGAGATTTCTTCGCGATCTAGCACACCGTTTACTCTGACTATCGTAAAGCTAGGGGTAAAATCTAATCTGAAATGATTCATTTCATTACCTGAAACTATCCGTACATTGGTTTCACCGTTCAAACCTTCATCTTGATCAACCACAGAGATTGCTGCTACAACTGATCCATTTCCTGCGTTTTCATCCACAGTCGCAAAACCCGCAGTTGATGGGAAATATCGGAATTTAATGATTGGGTCATGGTCATTTGCATCCACTAAATTCACTGTGACGTACGTCCTGCCATCTTGTCGAGGCGTACCATGATCTCTGGCGAAAACTGTAAAAACGCAGCTTTTTGGGCAACCGCCTCCAGGCCTAATATTATGTGGACAATTTTGAGCTGGTGGACATTCCAAAGGTTCAGTTGTCGAAATTATTCCTGTTTCTGGATCAACCGTGAATTGCGTTACAGTATCAGCTAGATAGTAGGTGATTTTGGCGTTATCTCCCAAGTCATTGTCCGTAGCCATCACTTGGAGTACGGGAGTATTTGGTGGTACGCTTTCATTGAGAGAAACAGTGTAATCGCTATGATCAAAAATAGGAGGGTTGTCATTTACATCTAAGATCGTTACGTTGACTTGGAGGTATCCATATCGTGGGGGGTTACCTCCATCTTTGGCGGAAATGTTTAGCATATAAAATCCCTGAGTTTCCCTGTCTAGTCTTCCGGTGGTTTCTAGGTGTAAGTACGAGGTTTCCCCTGTTGGATTTGGTGTAACGACGAGCTTGAATTTGTCCTCGTAATTGCCGGCAACGATTTCGTAATTGTCTGTTATGCCATTAACGCCTACATCTTTGTCAGAGGCCGCATCTAGCAAGAGCCGAGTACCGGCTACTGCACTTTCCGAGAACGACACCGCAATGCTCGCTTCTGGAAACTCCGGAGAGTTATCGTTTATGTCGACAACTACTATACGTACTTCTATGGGATATGTCGGCTGGCTAGATAGTACCACCAAGTCGCATCGATCGTTCCTCAACGCTTCTCTGTCTAGAACGGCGTTGGTGCGAATTTCGCCGGTGTTCGGATCTAAAGTAAACTCCTTTGGTGGTTCATTGAAGCGATACGTAAATCCTGGTTTAATCGGGATTTTTCCTACAACGGTACCTTTAGGCTGGCCTTCTAGAACTTCAAGTGTTACCCTAGTGTCTACGGCACGAGATTGCATTTGAGCAGTATATCCGAAAGGGATGTCGGGGTAGTTACCCGGTCCAGGTCCCGGGGTTCTGGCCCCCGCCAGCCAGATGCATCCGAATGTCAGAATCCAATAGTGCATGTTTGAGAGGCTATCCAAAATCCTATCCGAACATTTCGTGCACGTGCGTTAGACGTCGTCGGGTCCTTCTAACATTCCATCGCTCCGCGCCCCGCGCGCACCGAACTTGCTCAGCCTCTGGAGATGACGGCTATCTCCGTTGCTCTCGCATAGTCAACGCAGGGGCTCTCTCTCGACGTGGTATGCAATATGGCCGGCCGCTCGCAAGTCGTTCTCACTAATTCGATGAAAACAAACTGAGATGTTGTCACTAACACGAACGTCACTAAACTTCCTATCTAGGCCTGGACACAATCTCGCGAAACCGTGAGGTCAAAGCACCATACGCGTGTTATTGATCTAAGTAGCACCACAGCCCGCACTTGATCTTCGCTTGAATCCTGACACCAACACTGAGTACTGAGGGGTTGGATATGGCACGTGTGGTACCCCGTTTCGGTTTGCGAACTCACGTGTGTGTGGTTCAGTGACACACACCGAAAAAAGAACCGCGGTGGAAATGGCCGTAATGAAGTGTACCCGCGCGAAGACTCGACTGAGGTGCCGAGCGTTCTTGCGTTTACCTGGGGAGGAGCGATAGTACCACGCGGTGGTGCCGCTATTTCTTGACCTGACGCAGTTTTGGGGCCGCGGTTCACATGGAACGATTATGTAATCGGCTTGGGTTCTTTAACCATTTAGTATAGGACCGGCTGGTGCGCGAGCTCAATTTCATTATTGGGAAATTGCAGGGTTTTAATGCGGTTAGGAATGATGAGTATCCAAATGCTTAAACGAACTAAACTGCATTAGTTAATTGATCCACCACAAACAATACGCCAGGAAAGTACAAATAAGGTGAACATGAACGAATAGCCTCCTAATTTCATTTACTTGTTTCACGATTATTCGTATAAAATGATAATGGCAAAGAACCATCGTTTAGAGAAGAGTATCGTGAAGTTATATGAGAATAGCTTACTTATCGTTCATCCAGATTGTGCGTCTATATATAATAGCCTGTACGATTATTTTAACTATTCAAAAAGGCAGGAAGGGGTGATTAACGATTGACTTTTATTTATCCAAGTTTATGTCGTCATGTATAAATGTCAGTACATTAGTTGATATCCAGATGCCATCTACTTCAAACGCTGTTTTAGTTATTTATGCATATTCACTGTTCAACTTTGTTAGTTGGACCAAAATATAACCGAAACAACATTGAAATGCCTACCACTTGCCAGTTATGCTATTGCACAAAATTGGAGCCTTTTAATTTAACAAGAAAGGAATAGGTGTTCCAGTGACTTATAGGAAGAAGACACATTTTATTATTTATCCAGATAATCATCCCACTCACGTTTAATCAAACCGCCGGCTTGTTTCGTCATCACCTGTTGATATCTCCAGGAAAACATAATATGATTATGTATGATACTCCGGCTATAGTCATCTAGCTCTGATAAATTCTCGTAGATGACATTCTGGTATCTATCACTCCTCCTCAAATAATTCTTTGAACGCTGGAATACAGTATTATTTTGGCTATCTTCAGGTAGAATACGATAAATAGTCAATGGTTATCCTCTGTAAATCTTGCTAGTCAATACTGGACTCTATGCTAAAGCTCTTGTAGACTTATCTGAGTAGCTTACCGTATTTTTTCCATCACATCTGAGGTAAGATACATGCAAAAATGAGCAACACGCTTTAGAGAGTCAAGTTTCGTTCACATACAGTGTATACTATAAGATGATCTGAATTATTGTACTAAGAGTCAATTTAGGAATCATGTTATCTCTGGCCAATCTTCTGACCGCGGCTTATGCGAAATATTGCTTCAATTTATCCGCGCTTGAGGTAGTCTAGTAATGACAATATTAGTCAATTAAAGCATAAATTGCTTATATTTATTACATTTTTTTTGCGCACCCAATTACTTAATTATGAATTCTCTACACTGTCACTCCGTACACTATCGTGGCCCTGACGTCGTTTCATAATGACTCCTTCTGGTTGTGATCTTAGACTATAAAGTATAGTTTTTCGAAAATAAATCATTTAAACAAAAATTGCTTATCTCAGGAAACAAATAATCAATTGAAATCAGAACTGGTTCAGTTCCAAGACGTAATTTCCTATATATTCTGTGCTTCAAACTAGGCTGCAAATACATCCAAAATGCTGGCCAATTTTCAGAGAGACTACCAAACGAGATAATCATTTACCTATGATTTTTTTTTGTATACTAAGGAGCAGATGTGACACTCTCTTGTTATGAAACTGTGAGTTCTTCTATGAGTAATTGCGTTTATTGATATGAAAGGGTTTTCCAAAGCCTTAGCCTTGAAATGACTGTATTTAAAACAGCAATACCAGCGTCAATGTAACTCTTCTCTTTTATCTTGATTTGAGTGTGGATGAAAAATTTAGGTGGTACCGGCAGAAATTTTTAACAGCCTGTTCAACAGTAATAATACAAACTAACTACATCAAGGTCCAAAAGGGGTTTTTGGGCTCTTAAAATAACTGAAATTTCAAATTGACCGCATCACTGAAGTTATTGGTTCCAAATATTTAAAAATTTCGTCACCATTTCTCTTTTTATTTTACCGCTTGGCTGTTATTTAACAGCTAAAGATTGTTTGTCCAAACAAATGATTTATGCCAAGGGTAGTGGCGCATCACTTTGTAACCCAGTGTGCTTCGAAACCAGAAATGTATACGCTCATGTAAAAATAGTAAGTAATATATTCGGAAATGGGTGAACTTTTAGTTAAAAATTCCATAACGTACAGAGATGAAAATGTTGACAAAAGTTCAAGATGCGTGTTTTTTTTGATATCCAAACGCAAATGCGTTCAACTTGAAATTTGAGCTACTTCTAGGGCAGAAAAACCTCTTCATGGAGAGCTTTCCTTTTTGATTTCAAGCAAATAGAAAAAATGAACGGCAAGCTTTACAATAGAGAATATACGACACCCTTATGCTAGATATCACTCCTATATTAGCATGTTCATACATTTTTTGTCTTGCTTATGTCTTAATCTATAGATGTGTATGTAATACCTGAAGCATATCCTGTGGTTCTGTCGCTGATGAGTCTCCATGTTTTAGTAGCCGCCAGATGAAACCACAGACGTAGATTTTAAAAACTAACGTTTCGGCTATCCCACCATATTTTTAGTAGTGCAATATATGACAAATTGAAAAAGGCCACCGAGGTCAAAACATAAGTAAATATTTGGATCGACCATTGAAAAAACTCCGTGACACAATTTGAATTTTTTATGAGACTACAAAAACTGTATCATTGACTAGTAAACCAGTATTTGTGCACTTTTATGCGCAAAATATAGTATTTGAGTTTTAACAGAACAAAACAGAAATTTCGAATAAGCTTCACAGTTTATTATTAATAATAAAACAAAAGCTGTTCTGGGCTTGATTCTAAATGAGCTTCGACCATTGAAATTGATTTCGATGGCGCCTTCTGAAGATATACTTGATTAGCTATGATAATTTTGACACTACCATGATAATTTGAATATAGAAGATCAATATAATCAGATGTCAAAATTATCATAGCGAATCAAGTATATCGTCTCAAGGCGCCATCGAAATCAATTTCAATGGTCGAAACTCATTTAGAATCAAGCCACTGGACTAGTATGTAGCTTTAGCAAAAGAATCATATTGACCATATATTTTATTGCTCACTGTTGAAAAGCATCCTTAAATATTGACTTGTTAACATGTCACATGTTTTAATTGTATAGGTTTTAATATCTTTAAGGGACATAAGAAATGCAGGCAATGGGAACATCATGAGAAAATCGTATTTTCTGTTTGACATCAAAACCATGAATCGGCTATCGTGGAAAGTAGATTATTATTCGATTAATCTTCTTCAGTAATAATAATTGGCAGTCGGCTGTAGAGGAGCCCACGTGCTTATTTGACTACCGGGCAGCAAGATGTATACGAAGAGCTTTTTGAACTATTTGGCGTATATTTAAAGGACTTTCTCAGGCATATATGTATGTGGGGAGAATTGACTCAAAGGTTTTGGAAAGAAATGCATCTATAAGTAATTCTATGCAAAGCGGATATGCCAAAGTGGATATTGTATCCGCTCGTCCGTAGCCTTATGTCAGTGCATTTAGAATATTAGTATCTTGGTGAGTATAGCACATACACATGAAAATAAAATAAATCAAGGTTACGGGTACTGATTTTGAAATGACCCATTCAAGAATTTTCCATCGGTTAGAGCATGCAAGAACCACCTAAGTTCTGTAATTATGCAATGAACGTCGATTACGCGATATTGTTTGAAGGAATGTATTGATTTATGATATTTATACCGAGGATACGCATCTACCTTTAATGAAGCCTTTTCAGTAGAACAAGTATGTTCGAAAAAAAATGCACTTGAGTGGCTTTTGTAATTATCAATTCCTTTTTATTCTAGACTATGGCTTCATATGTCGGTCAGAGAAAAATGGAGATTGATCTGTATACGTACCTAGGTGAATATATTTTCCAAGTTTTTGTTTTGTATTTAGGATAATGAGTGCTGGTGCAGTCTAAACACCAGTAGAGGTATTTATCATCTGTGGTTAATTTTTATTGTGTATTATAAGATCGGAAAGACAAGCAAAGGATGGGTTTTAGAAATTGTGTTACTTGGTGAGTACTGTATGGTAGTAATGTCCCTAAAGGTATAAATAGAGGTGTTCCCTATAATTAATTTGTAAATCACAATAATTACAGATATATGATATCTGTTAATTAAGTTATAAGACTGGCAACGTAGCGTTCGATCTGGCAACGGTGTGCTATCAGATTTTGCTTTAGACTTAAGCACAGTTCAAAGGAATATCTTGCTAAGCTTCAGCAGACCTACGGAGGTAGTGCTTTGTCAAGAGCCCAGGCTGTTCGGTGGGCTAAGAGATTTTCAGAAGGGAGATTGAAGATGAACCATGAAGCGGAAGGCCTTCATCTTCAAGAACCGATGAAAGTAACGACAGAATCCGAAACCTTGTATGCTCAGATCGTCGGACTCACACCACCTGTGACTTGAGTCATTGTGACTTTTTTCTCTTCTCTTCCCGAAGTTGAAAAATCACCTCAAGGCAACTTACTTTGGGTCAGTCGAAAGCATTCAAACGGCTGTAACTGATCAGCTGCAAGCTGTTCCAGTATGGGAGATGCAGCACTGCAATGAGGAGTGGAATAGCCTTCTCCAGCGCTAAGTGACTTCAGAAGGAAGTTATTCTGAGGGTGACAATATAAAATTCTAATTATATTTGAATAAAAAAAAATTGAAAAATTAGTCTCTCCACTTAATTTACAGACCTCGTAATTTATTAGAATAACTTATTTCTATTGATATAACAGAAACTCTAAAAAGCAGATTTTAAACAGTTATATGATTTCATGGTTATTTTATCTGAATCAAAACTAGTTACGTGCAACATCTGAGAACAACGTCTTCTGCATGCATATCCAGCAAATTCCTCATGCCCACCCATCAAACTAT